CAGTTATTCAAGCAGAAGAACATTGATAATCAGACTTAACAGTGACTCAGACCTCCACCCTTCCTGGATAACTGACACCCTTTAGAGCTCCAGTATTTCCACGCTGGACTACGTAAATGAAATTAAGACATCACAAATATGCCTTCAGTGGCCAAACTCAAGCCCATGCAGGACATCTGCTAGTCCACTTCACAGAACATGGCTTCTATGTCCAGAAGAACCACAGTGACCACCTCCTTTGGTCTCCAGTGGAACACAAGATGCCAGACTGCCCTTGGATTTAAACTCCTGCTGAAGGGTTGCTTTAGCCTATTTTGCCAAGAGCCCAAATTTCAGCAACAAATTCTCTGCTAGGGTTGGAGTGGGCTTCAGGAAGTTCCTTATGTGCTAGGTGCAAGCTCTCTGCACTAGGAAGTGACACAAATCACACCAGTGCATCACTGCCAATTGGCAGGGCAGCTTCAGCCCCACAGCCAGGCCAGGCAGAGCTCACAGAAACACCCTGTCAAGCTTAGGCAGGGAAAAAAACCATGAATGAACAGCATTCAGAAGAAGAGCACTCCCTTAATCTGTATTTGCATAGCCACTAATACAACAAAGCCCATGAAGAGTTCAGTTTTTAAACAATATCACAATGCAAATATTTTCCTGCTGGCGCCTCTGCCGTCCCCGAGGAGCCGGAGCTGCCAGCCGTGCCTCACACCTGTCTGGCCATGGAAAGGTAAGGAAGAGAGGACTCCCCCAAGACTGGGGCTCCTGCACACAGCAAGGGTAAATGGTTTAGCACATCAAGAAGGTGTCTTACTCCCAAGGAGGAGGTAGAAGCAGAAAGCAGGACAATGTACTTCAGACCATGATGAAGTAACATCTGCTCCCTACAGAGGCAACAACATTTAAAGATAAAGACCAACACTCTAACATTCTTAAAGTACCTTGAGGGACTTCTCCCATCCAAAGGCACTCTGGACTTAAATTCTGAAAGAGCTTTAGAGAAACACGTTGACTTCAGCATTATCTTTTACTCTTCATCTGTCTGCTCTGTGAAGAACCCAAACAGAAAAAAAAGCCTTTTGAGACATCTCATGACTACTCCAAACACAAGTGTTTGCTACATCTACAGCCTGCCTGGGTCAATCAGTCACCTCTTGCAAGAGACCAGACTCTGTCTCTTTCTCATGTCATCAGCATCCCCACCAAACCCAACATCTAATGCACCTACTTGGAAAAGTTTATTTAGTGGGAACCCTGCCACTCTGAACAGTTCCATTAGCCTGGGTACAACTCCCATGAAAACTCTCAGCAAAATGCAAAGCACACACCATTCCTGGCTTCCCAGTCCTGCCACCTGCCTACAACTTGGTCTGGAGACTGTGTGGGCTGAGGGATGAGGGCATTTGAAGTCTGACCTGGCTCACTGCTCAGTCCTGTGATCAGCCACTTTGACATGAAGAAGGTGGGGTAAACAGGGTGGGGAAGAGGTTGATACAATCTCCCCTTTTGGCAGCAGTCCGAGCAGATCCAGTATTTCACAAACCACATCCCGAGTTGGGCAGTCATCACTGTTACCCAACTCACATGAGACAAAATCCTATTTCTCAAATCAGAAATGCAGAAATCTAATGTGATATTTGTCAAGCAAGCACGTGTTTCAGATTTGAAACCACTTCATATGGTGAAAACTCTCTGTATAAAAACCACTTTATAGGGTCTTCTATCAGAGGCTGCTGAAATCCCACCGAAGTGCATTGAAGAAATTAATCAGAACACTTCAGTCTGATTTAAGATCTTTCTTTTGACAGCCATCCAACACACAGAAGCACATCTCTAAGAGTGCACTGGGACTACCTACATGAGCTTTATGTTCACTTCCAAGGTTTTGAAAAAAATCCAAACAATGACATTAGATCCATTCCCTGGCATGACACTGCAAAGGACATTTCTGTTAAAGCATCTGTGCCAGCAAAGCCCTGAGCACAGGAGCTATACACAGGGGGTTTTCAAGGAGTTTGACATAAACTGCACTGGAAATGATTGATGCTGGGTAGATCTGTGAGGGCCTTCCCACAATTGCCATTTGGCACTAGAGTACTGCTCTGCTAGTTGAAATTACAAACTCCCCAGAGGTGCCAGAGGACAGCATTGAGGCCAGGAGCTGAGGCAGCAAGCAAAACCACACAAAGCCAATAAAATTTGTAACAGCCCTTCATCAAGGCAGCCAGTACCTAACCCCAAGAGGTAAAGGAGTAAGCCTTACTGCATCCACAGGCAAATTGCTGAAATCAAAAATGGAAGACAATGAGAAAAAGGAAACAAGTGAATGTGCTGACAGACACCTGACGTGCTCTTTGTGAAGGGGAGAGCCTCCTGCCCAGGGCAGCAGCCTGGAGGCTTCATAGAGCCTCAGGCTGGGGGGTCTCAGAATCACAGAATCAACCAGGTTGTAAAACACCTCTGAGGTCACTGAGGGCAACCTATGACCCAACACCACCTTGTCAACTAGATCACGGAATTAAGTGCCATGTCCAGCCTTTCCTTAAACATTTCCAGGGATGGTGACTTCACCACTTCCCTGGGCAGCCCCTTCCAATGTTTAGTCACCCTTTCTGTGAAGAAATTCTTCCTAATGACCTACCTAAACCTCCCCTGGTGCAGTTTAAGACTATGTTTTCTCATCACTTGTCATCTGGGAGAAAAGCCTCACCACCACTTAGCTCCACTCTCCAGTCAGGAAGATGAAGAAAGAAAGAAGGTTCCCCTCGAGCTTCTTCTTCTCCAGGCTGAGCTATCACAGCTCCTTCAGCTAGTCCTAGCGCTCCGGACCCTCCCCCAGCTGCGTTATCCTTCTCCGGACATGCTCCAGACTCTCAGTGTCCTTCCTGAACCGAGGGGCCCCTCTCCCGGCGCACAGAGCCGCGGTGGCCCCCGCCCCGGCCGATACTCACATCCGCCCCACGCCCTCGTACATGCGGGTCTCGTCCACCAGCATCATCACCTCCGTGTCGGTGAGGTGCGCGTGCTTCTTGGTCTTGGTGAGCTGCTCGATCTGCAGGTCGGCCAGTTTCACCTTCTGCTGTGTGTCCATCACCTTGGCCTGCAGCTCCGTGAAGGCCTGGCCAGGGGAGAGCGCCGGGGTGAGGAGCGCCGGGGGACAACCGGCCCCGGGCTGGGGGGACCGGCCAGCGACGCCGGGACACGGAGGGAGACACGAGAAGGGGCACACAGTGGGCAGGACGCACAGTGGAAGGGTGGGACACAAGGAGGGCGCACACGTGAAAGAGAGACACGCGGACGGGGGTCTCGTACCTTCTTCAGCTCCAGATCCACGGGCGCCGCCATCTTGTCCACGCACGGCGCATGCGCAGAGGGGCGGGGGCAGTCAGGGCCCCACCCGCGGGCGGGACGCGCTGTGGGACCGGCCCCGACCGGCGCCGGCACCGGCACCGAGCGGGCTGGGCGCTGCTGTGGGACCGGCCCCGGCCCCGACACCCACCGGGCTGGGGGCTCCTCGCTCCAGGCCGCGCCCTGCGGTGCTCTCGAGGGCCGGCTACCCCGGTGGGGTTGGGGGCACGAGACCAGCTCGCCGGGCCGGCCCCGCCTGGGTGTGCCCGGCCGGAGGGGGAGAGCCATCCCTGCCTTCGCTGGGAATCACAGAATGTTAAGGAGCTGGAAAGGACCTTAAAGATCATCTCATCCCAAGTTCCCCCTACCCCGGGCAAGATCACCTTCCACTATCCCAGGCTGCTCCAAGCCCCATCTAACCTTGCCTTGAATAGTCCCAGGAATGGGGCAGCCACAGCTTCTCTGGGCAACCTGTTTCCATCCCTCACCACCCTCACAATAACGGATTTCTTCCATATAGCTAACCTAAAACTCCCTTATTTCAACTTGTGCCTATTACTCCTTGTCCTGTCACTGCAGTTCCTGGTGACGAGTCACTCTCCAGCTTCCTTGGAGGCCCCTTCAGACACTGGAACATTGCAATGAGTTCTCTACTCAACCTCTTATTCTCCACCAGAACAGCCCCAGCTTTCTCAGTCTGTCTTCACAGGGAAGATCCTCCACTCCTCTTACCAACTTTGTGGCTTCCTCTGGACTTGCTCCAGCAGTTCCATATTGTTCTTATGTTGGACACACCAGAACTGTACACAGTAGAGGGGAGGAATCACCTTTGACCTGCTGGCCATGCTCCCTTGGATGCAGCCCAGGATCCTGTTGGTTTCTCTCTGCCTCACGGCTCTCTAGCAGAGCCAGCAACTCCCCCGCTCTCACTTCCCCCCAGGGAAGAGGAAAGAACTGGTTTGGAGGTTATTTTTACTGCAAAGTAAGGAATCATTCCTGATCACTGTATGAAGTGATGCTTGCTGGAATTACCTCAGCTCCAGGAATCTGCCATCACCCCAAGAACAGCTAGGATTCCTTTCAAAAGGGGTGTGAGCCCACCTCTGGATTTTTTGGTTTTGCCAAATTAGAGAACCATCAAAACATTATTTGGGATCTTTAGGATAACCCTGCCCACCTTCCAGTGGATCAAGTTGCTCAAAGCCACCTTCAGCCTGGCTTTGAGCGCCCACAGGTTTGGGGCAGCTACAGCTTCTCTGGGCAACCTGTGCCAGTGTCTAAACAACAAATGCTGGCTTAAAACCAGGGACCATTCCCATTTGAAAGGATCATTGGCCAGAGTGGCTTTACTCATACCAGAGGCAGCTTTGCTTGGTGAGCAGACCCAAAAACATCGCACCCCTCCCAAAGTACCAGCTGGCAAAGATGAAGAAAATCTCCAAAATAATCCACATGGGGCCAAGCTGAGATGGATCCTGCCTCCAGCCCCTTACACCACACTGCTCCCCAAGGATAGCACAAGCTGATCCAGCAGCCCTGACCACACACTCAGGATCTCTGCTGCTGTTGGCAGTACCCCACCAGCATGGAATTGGTGCTGAACGCAGCCTTGAGAATTCTGACTCCTTTCCACCGCCATGATTAAATTAACAACCCAAGTGTTTGTTACAAAGTATTATTTATTAGAATATTACATTGCACTTAAAAAATAAGGGAGGTCTGACCCTGTCATCTTGACATACATGAAGGATGCAGGGCCAGACCTACAATAAATATAAATACTATGTACAGTTTATCTAAAATAAATATATAATTTAAAATGAAAAATATCTTGTTAAATAGCTGTTACCCTCCCCCCCCTTTCTGCGGCGAAGGAAGCCCCGAGCTCGGTCTCCTCCCTTTCACAGCTTGTTCCTCGGCACGTACTGCAGTGGACGGAGAGCCGCCGGGGAGCCCCTGTGCCCCCGGTCAGCGCCGCTGCCGAGCCCGCTCCGTCCCGGAGGTGCCACGGAGCTGCCGCAGCGCCGCCGCTGCCCGGGCAGCCCCGCCGGTGCCGTCCTGGCGCTCCAGCGAGCCCCCAGCGTGCCGCAGCCCCGTGCCGCTGGCGCCGCGGTCTCGCCCCTTCCAGGAGGTAGAAGTGCATTAGTGCCGACCCCTGCAAGAGAGAGGCGGGAGAGCTCACACCGCGATCCCGGGCTCTCTGCCACAGAGCAATCCCTGCGTGGGGCGACAGAGGTGCCGACCCACCCAGCCCGGCGGGAGAACCCCCGTGCCCACCCAAACCCCACTCGCCGCCCCTCGGGGCTGGACGAGGGAGGATGGGAACCAAGGTACCCCACCCACCACGCTCCCTTCCGGGGATCACAGCACTTTTTCCCCCGGACACACCCACCCAGTAACCCCCAGGGTAAAGGGGACAGTGAGGAAAGCCTTGTGCCAAGTCTCCTTCCTGAAAATTCAGCTTCTATGAACAGCTCAAATTCCCACCCCCAACACTGTGATGAACATGACAGAAATTCTCCAAAGGCATTACCTCATCCTCACACAGAACAATGATTTTTTTTTTTTTTTTTTAAGAAGAGAAGTAGCTGTAATATGTATGACCACATCTAACGTCAGGATTTAGGTCAGATTGGAGGAAGTTTGACAAATTTTCAGCACCCAGCCCCACAGCCACCCCTGGGACAGAGCACATATCCCAGCCCTGCCAGAAGAACACGGCATGAGCTGGCAGCAAGATCCCCCTGTGCCAAGCTGAGAGACATTGCTTTGGTGCAAGTAATAAGTAGAGTGGGAACGAAAAGGAAAGGGGTTTTTCACACATGTATATAAATAGATGCAATATCTAAGGAGGGGAAGTGACTCAGAGGGTCAGAGAGAGAGCAGAATGAGCGGGGGAAAAAAGCTAAACAAAACAGAAGCAGCTTCCCTACTACCAAACATCCCCAAAGCATGGAACACCAGCACAGAGCAGGGACTGGGGGTTAGAAAGAAGGACATATGAATGATAGGGGTGCCAGGGGACAGGATTTCAGCAGGAGGGGGAGAGAATAAGACTGGAGCCCCACAGGGCAGCCCAGACTCTCAGCCAGCTGCTTCTCCAGACTCAGGCTGCCTTCAGCTCCTGCCTAGCTCTGGCACAGGATCCACACAGCAGACCCAGCCAGCACAAACAGCAGAGCCCCCAGATGTCCATCAGCCACACTGCTGCCCCATGCCCAGCCAGAGGCTCACCTCGCCAGCACCTGGCATCCTCAGTGATTCACAGTGATGCCCAGCTTGATTTTCTCTTCGTTTTCTACGTCGTAGCCACCCCTCTTGTGACACCTGCGAGGCCAAGTAAAGGGATGCTCAGGGCATGGAGAAGCCTCTGCTCATCCTCCTCTTGCACATGATCTTCCCAGGGACACAGATCTGGGAGCTCAGTGCCATCCCACTCACCTGAGCATCAGCAGGGCTGCGATGATGACAAGACACAGGGAGGACAGGACAACAGCAACGACGGCCAGGGCTGTGGTGTGGTCGTACGCGCTGGGCGGGTGCTCCACCGGCAGTGAGAGGCCGTGGCAGCGCTCTCCGTGATAGCCTGGCTGGCATCTGGGCAAGAAGGAAACTCACAGAGGTCAGTGGTGAGCAAGGATGGGAGGTCTTGGGGTCCCCCACACCCCATGGGAAGGCAGTGCCTCTGTGCTCAGCCTTAACCAACACCCTGCCTATTCCCCTTGGCCCCACACCCCTGAGCTGGGAGGTCTGATGTCACCATCATCTCTATTGTACTGGTAAATTAAGCTTCTCCTGCACCTAGTGAAGACTCCTAGAAAGGTTGAGCTCTCCCCCAGTAGTAGAAGGCACTGGGGTCTGTTCTCTTTCCAGTCACACCCCGGCAGGTTGCTCAGAAGTGGGCACCTCTAGAAGTGGGAAGAGAGCAGCAAGGCAGCTTGGCCAGCGTTTCCCATGGAGCAGGATGTCCCTGCACACCCTGCCAGCTCAGAGGTGTCCCATCCCTGGAGACTTGGGAGGTTGCTCATGTAACAGAAATAACGCTCCACACAGGCTGGGAGGCTTCCAGCCCTCCCTGAGCCACATTGCACTGATGCAACCAGATAAATATATCCCTCTATATCCAGCACCACTGACCCTCAGGCTGATCTCCAAGCCGGACTCAGCCCAGCTCCTGGGCTCACAATGCCACACGCCAGCATCACCTCCCAGGCACAGCAGCAAGGCTGGGCACATGGCAAAGGTGCAGGACCCAGCTCAGCAGCATCCTTATTCCACCCTGTGTCCCAGGAAGAAACAGACCAGGAGACCCTGTGACAGTGGCACAGTCAAGCACCAAAAGCAGCCACAACCAAGTGACACCAGTCAACAGAAGGCCTCTTTAGCAGAGGAGATTGGGGCAGTTGGCCACTGTTACTAAAAACTCTGATGGCTCTGAGAGATGCCACCCAGGGACAGACCACCATGCTGAAGAGACGCAGCCAGCCCCCAAATCCCTGCTGCTTGCCTGTGTCCCAGTTTCTCTCCCCACCCCAGGGATCTGGGCAGGGGACACCTGGCTGTCCCAGTCCTAGGCCAGGGTGTCACAACCCACATTGTGCTGGGTCACCAACCCAAACTGAGCCTGCAAAGATGTCCCTTCACTGGCAGTCCCGAGTCCCCCATGCAAGGGCCCAACTTCATGACAGCTTCAACAGGGAGAAACCAGGGAGTTAGAGGAGCTCTGTGGAGCTTGATCCCTGCAGATTGCGGATCCTGTGGGCACCATAAGCCAGGGAGCTATTATCTTCCCTGGGCTCAAGGCTGGGTGGCTCAGAGGATTGATAGTGAAGAACAAAGCTTCTTACATATCTGCCAGCTCAAGTCCTGCCCACGTCAGTGGGGATCAAATATGCACCCCAGGGTATTTCCTGCAGCAGCAGCGCTGTATCCAGGTGCCCCAGCAGCAGGCAAATACTTTCTCCTTCACTTGCCTCATCTAGTCCCTGCTTGCTCTGCACCCCAGGGTGGGGGGCAAGGAGGGGTACATCAGGCCAAGGGACAGCATGGCTTTGGCAGCCTGTCCCCAAAGGTGCTACCTCCACTCCACTTTGCTGGTGGCATGGCAGAGATGCTCCTCCCACCTGCACTGATGTGCCCTGACAGATGCAGGAGCCAAGAGGTCTCAGAGTGGGGCCTTTACAGTGACAGGGTCAGGATGAGGTTTCCCAAATCAGACCTGCAGAAGCCCTCAGCTGCCAGACTCCAGCCCTACACACCATACTGCAGTCCCCAGCACAGCCAGAGCTCACCATGCTGGCAGGGAACCCTGGCTCTAAGGCCATGATAGGATTTGGGGAAGGGGTGGACACTTCTCAAGAATTACAAGTCAGAGTTGTCCCTGCATGGGTAGGGAACATACACTAAAAATATCTCCACTTTTCCTCTGCCCAGCTTGGCAAATTGAAAGAATCATGACTAAGGCTCCCCCGGCACAGGCACACGCCAGCAACTCACATGCAAGAGGGAGCTCCCAGCTCTCGGATGTACTTGCACTCGCCGTGAATACAGAAATCCTTGTACTTCCGCAGGCACGGGTCTCTCTTCTTCCCCAGGCCTTTGCCTTTTCTTCTTTTATTGCCGTTCCCTTTTTTCTTGGGAGTAACGAGGCCTTGAGGCTTTGACAGGAAGGCAACTGAAAAACAATTTCGGAAGGAGAGAATAGCAGTCAGATCAGCTCCACGTGCCAACCAAAGGGAAGGCAAAGCCACATCCCAGGGCTGCCACAACTGCTCAGCCCTGGCTCCCACAGCCCTTTGTGCTGGGAGCTGCCCCCGAGCCCGGGGTGGGGGGGCTTTTTTTTTTTTTCAGATCCTCACAAATATCATGGCCTTTCCAATTCATAAGAACAATTCTCAAGGAAAGAAGGGAGTTGGGCAGGGGGAACAGAGCTTTATACATCTCAAATGCTGCTATTATATGCACCAGTTTCCACTGAATACAGAACACTGCTAATTGCCCCTTTATCTGGCCTTTATTTCCCTGACAAGCACAGGCTTTTCTAAGACCCTATTCATGGCTCGGATGGACTCTCCTTCCCGTGGGCACAAGGATGCCTTACTCACCCCAGGGCAGGATTAAAAGAGCAAGCCTGCCTTAAGTTTTAGTTTTGCAGAGCCCAAGAGATGGTGAGGGCATCATTCCCATGAATTACAACGGTATGTTTTAATTGTGGTGCAGTAACCAGCGGCTTTTGGTGCCAGGCCAGCCCCCTGTCGGGTTGGTGGAAACCAGAGCACCAAGCTCCTCACCCAGACACAGCCCAACACTAGAACGGTACTGGAATGGTTTTTAAGGTGTGCAGATACCAAAACAAATCAGTTCCTAGCTTGATCTCACTAGGTGCTGAGATGTGGGAGAGCACTCACTGCTCCAAGGGGGATTTTTTAGCTCCCCCCGAGCTATGGTGCTCAGTAACCCGGGTGAATTAAGCCCGGGGCTGCTCAGGAAGGAGAGTACAGTGGAGTCCAACCTGGCAAGTTGTAACCTGTCCAGGTTACAACTCAACCACTTCTTCACGGAACCAGCGCCTCTCGTGCTGGCACACACTGGTTGCACACCTAGCAAAGTCATGTCGACATCCTCCACGCTGCGCCTGGAGAAAACCGATACTCCAGGAAACTGCGGCTCGGAGAAACCTCCGGATGAGGCTGACAGCAGGGGCTGCTCCGTCCCCTGCCTCTCCTGCCCTGAGAGTTATCTCCCAGTCACAGCCAACACACACACTGCTGCGTTTCCCGAGGGCCGAGTCCCACCCGGTGCGAGTGGCTCAGCCCGGTTTTGCCTGCTTTTTGTCACAGTCTGCTGGCACAGCCAGAAAGCAAAGAAAAACACGGAAAAATGGGAGGGTGAGCTGTACGGAGCAGAGCACGCTCCTGGTGCCAGGTACTGCCCTCGGCACGCCGCGTGTGCGAGGCACAGGTACATGTCACCCCCTGGGCCCGCGATGGGCCCCCGTCCAACCCCCGTGAGAGACACCGGGACGTTCTCTGCTGCCAGCCCGGGGCAAGGAGCCCGGCGTGGGTGCTCGGGCGCCCCAGAGAGCGGCAGTGCCCCCACCGCCCCCGTGGCGGGGCTGCCGGCTGACGAGCCCTGCCGCGGAATGAGGAGCAGCCGCGCGTGGGCGGCGGTGACTCACGGCGGTCCCCGCGCCACGGCCACCGCCGTGAGGGCAGCGCGGGACCCCGGACACGGCAACCCCGCCACGAGGGGCTCTATTGCCTCCCGGCCGAGCAGCTGAGACCTGAGACCCCCCGGAACCCGCCCTGCAGGGGACTTCAGGAATACGGACAGCTCCTGGCAGGAACGCCACTACTCCGTGCTGGTGCCCCACGGGCTACTCCCACTCGGGTCTGCTGCCGCCGGGGCTCGGTATCTGGGACTGCTCCCACCCGCCACTGCAAGTCCCTCCGAAGCGGAACCGGAGCTGCTGCCGGGGCACCCGCGGGACTGAGCCGAGCCCAGCCCGGCACCTTCGCGACCTCTCCGGTTCCGACTGCCCCCAGCCCAGCCCGTCCCGCGACCCTGGCCCCGCCCTGGGACCCCTTATCCCCTCCATACCTCTCGGCAGCTCACTGAAGTCGTCCCCCGAGGCCGCTCCGCCGCCCTCCTTCTCCGGGCTGCCGCCGAGCAGCGGGGCCGTGGCCGGGACCGGCACCCCGCCGCCGCCGCCCTTGTGCAGCACCTCGTTGTGCAGCTCGTCCCGGCGCAGCCCACCCGCCGCCGCCGAGCACACTGCAGAGAGAGTGGTCAGGAGTGGGGGCTGACACCGCCCTGCCCAGGACCCCCCACACGGGACAGGGACCAATATTCCCGTCTGCTCGCACCCGGGACCAGGACCGCGTTGCCCGCGCCCAGGACCAGCCATGCCCGCATTGCCCAAGACCATCCCCCCACATGCTCGGGACCCTCCAGTCGAGCACGGCGCTGGGATGCGCTGCCCGCACCCAGGACCCTCCCCACGCGAGCCCGTACCTGCCGCCAGCAGCGCCTGGATCAGCACCGCCCGCCCGTCCATGACCCGCGGGCTCACACGTCCAGTCCCTGCCGCGCTCCGCTCGGTCCCGCAGCGATGCCCGCTCTCCGGCACGGCGGCCCCGCGGCGGGTAGAAAGCGGCGGACGGCGGGGCGGGGCGGGGAGGGGCTGAGCGACCGCCCCGCCCCCGGGAAAGGCTTCCCCACCGCCCCCGGGGGTGTCCCGTCGGCCGGGACCAGGATCAAGTCCCGGGACCTTGGCCCGGTAGGTTCTCCTCGCTCCGGAGGCGGGCCAGGGACCCAAGGGCCACCGCCGCCCCTTTGCCCGGTGCCGCTCCGCGCTGCGGGCCTGGCTGGGCGGCGAGAGAGCGAGGAGAAAAGGGTTTCTGCAGAGCGCCGAGGGCAGGAGGTGACCAGGGGAAAGTGTGACCCCAGCCAGGGGGAGAGGATGGTCCCTATGGTCCCCGTGGCTCCAGGCCCTAGCTGGCAGGTGGCCGAGGCGGCCCGAGAGTGTTGGGAGAGGGAGTGCACCTTACAAAATGAGCATCAGGTGGGAGGCAGCACCTCAAGAGTCAGGGCTGCGCCTCTTCCCGGCCCTGGGGATGGGATGACCCTCAGAAAGGGGACAGACTGCCGTCCATGTGCCACTGCACCAGTGGTGGGTCGGGGAGGTGGTGGCAATCTGAGATGGCAGCAGAGACCCTTTCTGTCCCTAAGGCCCCATTTATGTCCCTGTGCTGCCCAAGTGATGGAGTCACTGCCTCATCTCACAACACCCCCCTAGCCAGCCACTGTCCTTGTCCCTGTCCCAGCCTGCTGTGTTTGGGCACTGCCAGAGCTTCCCCATGTCCTTCACCATGCTGGCAACCATGTGTTGTGTTTGGCCCCATCCTCAGCACAGGTGACAGTGCAAAAAATGTCACTGATATCAGTGCTGGGCAAGTGCAGGGTCCTGCCCCAGCTCTCCTTTGGGCCAGCAGAGGTCCCTGGTTGGTTCCTTGAGGTCCCGAGGTCCCAAGCCCCCCGCCCATGGCTGGTTTGGGCTCAGCTAGGCATGAGCAAATATTCCTGCCATTGTTGTTACTGTCTCCAAGGAATACCACCGGATCTGGCACAACCCCCCCCCCTGCGCTCACACCCTCCTTCTTGCTCAGACTTGACTTTTGCAATTGTTTGCTGGATGTTTTTCCTTCCGCCTCCTCCGGCCATCAGGAGCCCAAAGCCTCTGGCAGTGGAGTTGGGTGGTGGCACGGGCGAGGGGCTGTGTCCCTGGGCAGTTCTGCACACTGGTTCCTGGGGAGGCCCCCATGTGGAGATGGATTTTTTTGCCCCTGCCAGTCCCCCACCACATCCCCAAGGCCAGGCTGGGCACGTGTGGCAGCGTGTGTGGGCAGTGTTTGCCAGCTGCCCTGGCACCTCGGGAGAGGGAGGCACCAACTCACGTCAGCTGCCAGGGAGGCAGCTGGCACAGAGGACTGGCAGCAGGCAAGGGTGGGGGGATGTGTGCAGGCTGCTGACCTGCCTGGCTCTGCTTCCTGCCTCTGCCTCCTGCTTCCCCTTCCCCTCTGCCTCCCACAGCCTCCCATGACCCCTTCCCACCTCCTGCAGCCCCTCACAGCCTCCCTGCCCATGCCTGCTGCCAGTCATGCCCCATCTCATGCTGCTGAGGTGGCCCCCGCAGGAGGCAGAGGTGAACCCCAGGAAGCTCTGGGAGACTCAGGGCATCCCTGATGCTCCTTATCGATGAGTCCTTCTGCCAGGGGTCTCCCCATGGTCCCCACCCCAGCTAAGGGCACCCCTCCACACACCATGGTACCCACTGGTATGGCAGAGCAAACAGCCTGGACACCCTGGGCCAGATCCTCAGTCTCAGTTCCTGCCAGGCAGGTACCAGACCTCAGGAACCCACGCTCCCACCCGCCCTTCCCCAAAACGTGACTCTGCCGTGGTGGTGGCTGGCCCTGCTCCAGCTGCTCCTGGGGCTGGATCCTGTCGGCTCCAGCGGGCCCCAGCACAGCCGGCCCGTGCCGGAGCCGCGGGTGTTTGCGGTCCCGCCGCCGTGTTTGCAGTGCACACAGCCCCGCGGTTCGTTCGCGGGGGCCGAGGGGCCGAGCGTGGTGGCGGTGGGCATGGCACGGGCACAGCGAGCACCGTGGCTGCTCTCTGCTGGCAGCGCTGTGCAGGGCCTGCCATGTCCCTGTCCCTGCAGGATGCTGCGGCTGTGCCCACGTCCTTCCCCCTCCATCCGCTCACCGGCTGCAGCTCACGCAGAAGCCTTCTGATCAGCGGCACAGCCCCGAAGCCCTCCCAGCCCTTTCCGTCAGCCCTGCCACTCGCAGCCCCTTATTTCCCCACTCTGGATTTGCTCAGCGGTGCCACATCCTTCCCCAGAGCATGTCCCCATATCCTCTTTTCCAGGAGGAGCTGCCATGGGCTGTGTCACCCCTTCTGCCATGGGCACAGCATCCTTGCACAGGCACAGATACTGCCACCAGCTCTCCAGGGCTGGCCCTGCCACCCCCTCACCAGCGCCTTGCAGGGTGCAGACAGGGCTGGGAACACACGAACATCCCTGTCCACCCAGGTGACCTGCAGGAGGTGGGTGGGTCCCCGGGTCCCTGGCCTGGGTGGGCAGCTGGACATGTGGCAGGACAACCTTACTGGGACCTGTGGGGCTGACCCTGCTGTTTTGGGATGTTTGTTTTGGGCTTGGCTCCTGTGTATTGGTTTGTGGCCAGTTTAAACCTGTTCACAGCTGTTATAAGGTGTGGGATGAGTGGGATCCTGTGAGTGCTGGAGGGGAGCTCACGCCTGTGGCTGCCGGTGCTGGTGGCCATGCAAGCCCACATACCCGGGGCGGGTGGCACGGCTCTCCAGGCAGCAGACAACTGCTCACAGCCCAACCCTGGGCTGTGCAGCAACCCTGGAGCTCCCTCACAGGCTTTCGGCTGCAGCATCTTCCCCTCCAGCACGGCCACAGCGGCCCGGCAAGCTGGTGCCGCCCTGCAGTGGGAGGAGAGGGGGGACGTCACCTGCCCGCTGCTCTTCATCCAGCTCAACCAGCTCCTCAGCACCCCGGCGGGGCTGGAGTGGAGGGAGATGGCCAGGTAGGCACACCTGCGAGAGCCAAACTGCTGGGCCACGCTTTGGGAGCCCAGGGCATGTCCCGAGGCTGGCCGCTCCCCGCCTCAGCCCCAAGGCAGGGCTCTGCCCCGCCAGTGCACAGCTGGGCTGACTTAATTTCATGGCAGAGGGCAGGATGTCAGGCAGGCCAGGCACAGCGACCTTCCTCCTGCTCCTCTCTGTTGCCTCTCCAAAGCTCCAGCGGCTGCGCCGGGGCTGGGATGTCCCCGTGCCCCCTGGCACCCTTCCACCCGCCGGCAGGGGCACAGGGACACGGGCCACAGGAGTCTGGCGACAGCAAGGGGTCTTCACCCGGGGTCGGAGTGTCTGTGGGACCAAAGCGGCCGCGCTGCGGCTCTCCCCGGCAGCCAGCCCGTTGTGCCCGCACGGCTGCCCCTGGGCAGGAGCCTGCAGCGCCGGGCCCGCTCTGCCCGTGCAGCACGGCCAGCGCACGCGGCTGCGCGCCCACCCACGGGGACAAAGGGGAGCTCTGTCTGTGCCCGGCGTTAAAATATTTGGCATGGCCCGAGCGTGAAAACAGCTCAAGACACTTCTGTTCTGACTCCAGCAAGTGTTGCTAATGGCAGGGCCGCCCCCAGCCCCAGCCCAGCTGGGGGAATGGATGGGCTGGGAGCAGCCCTGTGGAGAATGGCTGGGGGTGCTGGTGGGTGACAGATGGGACACGAGCCAGCACCGTGCACTGGCAGCCCAGAAAGCTGAGTGTATCCTGGGCTGCACCACGGGCACCAGGGTGAGCAGGGGTGCTCCCCCTCTGCTCTGCTTTTTGGGGACTGCCCTGGGGCACCACATCCAGCTCCTGTTGAAGCACATCCAAAGGAAACCATGGAAATGATTCAAAGGCTGGAACAGCTCTGTTGGGACAGCTCTGCTATGGAGACAGGATGAGGGAGGTGGGGTGTTGTTTAGCCTGGAGAAGACAAAGATCAGGGGAGACCTTAGAGCCTCTTGCAGTGCCTAAAGGGGCTGCAAGAGAGCTGGAGAGCAACTTTGGACAAGGGACTGGAGTGACAGCACAAGCAGGAATGGCTTCCCACTGCCAGAGATCAGTGTTAGATGGGATATTGGGAAAAAAATTCTTCCCTGTGAGGGTGGTGAGGCACAGATTGCCCAGAGAAGCTGTGGCTGCCCCATCCCTGGAAGTGTCCAAGGCCAGGCTGGAAGGGGCTTGGAGCAAACTGAGATATTGGAAAGTGTCCCTGCCCATGGTGGAAGGCTTGGAATAAGGTGAGCTTTAAGGTCCCTTCAAACCTGAACCATCCTGTCACCTCATTATGGCTGGAATTCTCCTGATCAGACCTCAGAGAGGTGTGGGTCTGCAGGAATGAGGACATGACCACTTTGTCTGCCCAGCTGTCCCTACGCCATGAACCACCTGCAGGCCCCTCTGAGCCACCCAAACCCCTCCCTGCCAGTGCCAGCCCCATGCTAAGCCCAAAGATGGACCCAGGCTTTAGCTCCCACTGCTGGCATGGGGCACAGGACCTACCCTGCCACTGACCCCCCACATCTCCCTGGCCAGGTGGATCAAGTTTGAGGAGAAGGTGGAGGACGGCGGGGAGCGCTGGAGTGCACCCCATGTCCCAGCTCTGCCCCTGCACAGCCTGTTCCAGCTGAGGACATGCCTGCAGAAGGGGACAATGCTCCTGGATCTGGATGCCACCAGTTTCAAGGAAATAATTGGTACATGAGTAATGCAAAGGTCATCTCCTGGGATGGGCTGGTCACCAGAGGGGGCAGGCCACCAGGAGGTGCCTATAGAACAACACTGATAAGTGACACAGCTGGGTATCTGGGGGGTTCTCTGCTACTCCAGCTAAGGGGGTTTTCCCCTGGGCAACTCCCCAGTGGGCAGGAAGACTCAGAGCTGTCCCTGTCCCTGATGCAGACAAAGCACTTTCTGAGCAGCCTGAGGAAGCAGAGCTGCAGCCTGCACTGAGGGAGCGCCTGGCAGCCCTCCTGCTCCTCCAGCCACAGCATCAGCCTACAAAATCCCTG